GATTTAGAGGCTTCGTTAGCAAAACAGCTATGAACAATAACTACAAAGCCTAATTTGTTGATGATAAAAGTCAAATATTTTCTCAAGTGAGGTTTGTGGAATGTAAAGGTGAGAGAACAAGATTCTTGGATATGGAAGAGTTGAACAAAGGCTAGACAAACATTGTCATTGGGACTAAGAATGAAGGTGGGTGATGGCAAAAACATTAAAGTTTGGGATTTTCCTTGAATCCCAAATGTCCCTAACCATAAAACAAAGGGAAAATGGGAGAGAGATGAAGGAGTAGAGAAGGTGAATGAGCTTTCAAATGAAGAGAGGGAGTGGAACAAACAACTGACTAGTCAAATATTCAATGAACATGAAGCAACATAGACCCTCAAAATCCCCATAAGAAATAATGAGAACAGGGACAAGAAGGGGGCTCTAGAATAGAAAGGGAATTTTTCAGTTAAATCTTGTTATAAGACAATCATAGGGAATAAGGAGCTAAAAAAGAGATATTCCAAGAACAAGCATATGAGATGGTTAAAGTGAGATAATGTGGAAAAAGGTCTAGAAGTTGGAAGTTAAACCTAAGTTACAAGTATTCTTGCGGAGATGCATCCCTAATGCCTTACCGGTAGCAGAGAAATTGTGCTTAAAAGGCACAATTCAAGAGACTTGGTATGGATATTATGGTGAAAATTATAAAACATTGATGATGTATTTTTTGAATACGACTGGGTAAAAAACTTGGCAACTGGCTTCAATTAGTTAGGGTAAAAATATACCTTAATGGAGCATTTCAAAGAATGGTGGCAAGACATTTGCAATGAAAAGAATGCAAGTTGTTGGGAGGAAATGATTGAGGTTCTGTGTATATTTTGGGTTGGCTGTGGAAAACAATAAATATGGCGTTGTTTGAAAAGAAATCAACAATAATAATGGAAGTGGTTGTCCGAGGGGTACAAGAGTGGAAAGAATTTGGCTCGTACGGGAATGAAACACATGGAAGGGGGAAGAAAGGGATACTATTAGGGAACACTGTATGGAAAATGGAGTTGTTTGTCAGTGCATGTGTGTCTGGAGGAGGTTGTGGGATAGGAGAATTGGTGAAATGAAAAAGTTCTGGTACATTCCTCAACGGGTGGTAAGTGTTCAGACCAGGCTGTGGGG